ATCTTTCGATGACGATGTTCGGGCGCGGTGGCCTACCGTTGGGCTGAGGAGCCATTTCTAGTTCGACGTAGTTGAGCACTAGTTTGATTTCGGCAACTACGGCGTCAAACTTGTCCCTCTGGGTCCGAGCATCCTGCTCCAGCACATCGAACTGTGCCTTGACCCTCCGACGGTAGTCTGCAAGCATTACAAAGTTCCATCAAGCAAGAAAGTTACTTCAGCAGTAACCCCGACCAGGGAATACTCACCGTTCCGCTCCTCGGCCAGCTTGTTCGCTCGCCCTGTCTCCTTCGCCTTCCACTCTCGGAGTTGCTCGAGGGCCTAGCATAGCTGGCTGAGCTCCACAGCTTGTTCTACAAGTACAACAGTCATCACCAAAAATAAGCATATTCGACTATGCAAAGCACTTTCATCGATCACACGTACCTTTCTTCTGCTCGGAGAGTTTCTGCAGCTGTTCCAACTGCTCGAAAGCATCCTTCAGTTGTGTGGAGGCAGTGGCCAGCTGCTCGGACTTGCTCCGTAGCTGTTCGGTCATAGCCGCCAGCTGCTTAGACAGACCCCCCTCTGGTGTTCTAGGTCCCGCGTGTTGGACTCAGCGAGGTCTTGCTCGCACCGAGCCCTCTGGGTGTTTCTCTCTGAGAGGTTCATCGCCTTCTTGAGTTTTTGGTTCTCCTCAGCGAGGGGCTCCATCCTCTTTATCAACTGGTGCCGGTGCTCGGTAGTCCGAGTTATCCCCTGAAAATTCACAATGACAACGATGGAATTCGATCTTCAACATCAAAGACGAATACTCAGGATTCAGTACTAACCTCGATTTGTTTTATTACTTCGATGAGGGCGGATTTCAGCCGCCTCATCTCCTTGGGGGTGTCCTCCTCCTCGATAACTACCACCTCATCACCGCTCTTGTGGAAGATTCGGACGGATTGGGTTCGAGGCTCAGCACGAACGATCTCCTCCACCACGTCCTCCTCTTCCGCAGCAGCTGGAGGCACTACCGGGGGGCTCTGTGGCCGGACAGCGGGTTCGACCATGCCCTATGACGCCTCAAGGGGCGCCGTTAGCTCCTCGGGCGCCACTGGTTCCGTCGACCCGGACTCTGGTGCATCGCTGGCAACTCTAGCTTCAGCTCCCGAGGGCCCGACAGTACCCGCCGTTGCTTCGGGTATTGTCGCCGACCCATCCTGCGCTGACGCCGACCTCTCGCCATCTGCAAGTCCACCCGCAGCGGTGGTTGACTCTTCCGCCGGCTGCCGAGCACCCGGGGACCCCGACACGAGAGCCGTCGGCATTACCTCCGCCCTAGGATCAGCCCGAGGTTGCTCGTCAGTCTGGGTGGACCAGTCCGGACCCTCCGTATGCCTTGCATAGCATCAGATCATTTGGTCAAGCAGCAAAAAAGCTAAGATAAGGCAGCAAAGTAACTCCAACACAAGGATACTTACCGTTTGGTCTGCCGGTGTAATTTTTTGAATCGGCGATGCCTGCCCGAGCCCCCAGGCGCGGCTGTGGGATCGACTCCCGTGCTCTGGGGTGGAGGTCTCACCTCCTCCACAATTAGCCTCCACTATGCCTGCCACTCCGGGGCTTCCTCCGCCCGTCGCTCCGGATTTACCTCCGCCTGTTGCTCGGTGACTCCCGTCGCCTGCCCAGCGGGGACTTCTGTCATCTGCTGCTCGGGGAATTCCCTCACCTACTGCTCGGGGACTTCCACGCTTCCCCTTCATTGCTCCTCCACGCATGTGCTGCGTGGAGGTGCTTGCATGTTCGGAGGAGGAGCAACTGGATCTTCGTCGTCATCAGACCACTCGAGCATCGCGGCCCTTCGCGTTCGAGTGGTCTGGTCGCCACCAAGTGAGATGCCACCCAGTTTGGGGGGGAGCGGCAGCTGCCATTTTTCTCTTCTTCTGGGCCGGCTTGTCTGCTGCTGCCCTCTTTCCCTGGACTTTCTCCGTCACCAAGGGCGAACTCTGCGACCGACCAGTGTTGGTGCCTCTGGATTATGATGAGGCGCTGGCTACATCTTCCGCAGGCCAACCCGGTGGCCGGGCATCTACTCCCCTCGGCCAATCACCCCTCGGCACGCCAGAGAAATACATCGCTCATTCCTGTGAATGGATCTTTGCATAAGTGAATCAGTTCACTACTCGGCAATGCTTTAGGATTAAAAGTATCAGGAATAAAAATCGAGATGATTGCCTCGGGAGGCAGATTTGTGCAATTGAAGGCCCTCGTTTGCTTTGGCCAGGTTAACAAAATGTTGGGGGCGAACAGCTCTGCGGCCCGCTCTAGGACATTCTTCTTCGTCAGCGGTTCCTTCCTTTCCTGGGTCCTGTCGTCATCACCTCTGTAGTCAAAGCCCGGGTGGGCCCTCTCCTTGCATGGATGGACGCGGCACACTTTGAAGCTTGCTGCCATCAGTTCGCCTCTAATTTCTACGCCTTTAATCAGGTCGAGGAGCTCCCTCACTTGTTTCATGTCAGCACTGTTCGGTTTCTCCGACCAGCTCTTCTGGTTCTCCGGGATATGGTGGACATCACAGCGGATTGCAGGGTGGCTCTGTTTCATGTAGAACCACTTGGAATTCCACCCTTTCAGAGAAGTGTTCAGCGGTACGTTAATGTACTCGCTAGTCATTCCATCCCGGAGCTGTAGATATACGCCGTCGACCACCTTGGAGCCACCGCCGCCTTTCTTCTTCAACCAAAATAGGTGTCTGAAGAGGTTGAAGTGCGGCAGAACCTCCAAAAACGTCTCACAGAATTGAATAAAGATCGCGATGTGCAATATGGTGTTGGGGTGGAGATTGCACAGACTAATCGACCAGAATTCCAACAGATCTCGCAGGAAAGGATGAATAGGGAACCCCAACCCACGCCAGAAATAATCCTCAAATACAACTTTATCGGTGTTAGGCATTGGGAAGGGCTCACCACTGGCTGGCCGCCATCCGGCAGTGACGCGGTCAGGAAGGACGCCCGTCGCCACCAATCTGTCAAGCTCCGCTTCCCCCATACGCGACGGCGCCCACTCTTCGTCATGACTGGCTCCAGCACCTGCCTTCTTTGGGCTCGGCTTCTTCGGGTTCACAGCTCTCCTCTTCGGCGCCATCTCTCAGATTTGGATGGGAACTGGCGCCGGCAGCGTGCGTGGGTGCGAATCTAGAAGTGTGATGGCTAAGGATGAAGATGAAATGGCGAAGTGGCAAAGGTGGGAGCGTGGGGGGCGGTGGCGCCGTTATAAAGTATTTTCCTCACCCTTTCGCATTCGAGGGTTTTTGGGAAACCGTTCCCGCGATCTACGCTTCTCCGGATTCTCCGACGCGGCTAAATGGGCCGTAATGTGGGCTTTTGCGCAACCGCAGCCCATGTCACTCATTTATCGCTGCCGTTAGTTATTACTCGGGATTAATCGCCGACATCTCCGCCATTTATTGAGGTTCAATGACAGTTACGGTATAGCCATTACTCCAGTTTTTTCTCCACGGTTTGATTTCTCCGATATCTCCGCTTGCAGCTCGGGGACTGGCTGCCTGCTCGGCTGTTATTTCACTATTTTTCTGTTTCTGACCCTAGCACCATGTGACTACGTCACCTACTATCAGGCTCAGGGACTAAGTGGGCACACTTCACCTTGCGGTGAATGTGCTTTATCTCATTTTGGGGCTATGCCCGGGGACTGGCTGCCTGCTCAGCGTATTTCTACTATTTCTTCTACTTTGGACCCTGGCACCACATGACTACGTCATCTACTGTCAGGCTCAGGGACTAAGTGGGCACACTTCACCTCGCGGTGAATGTGCTTGCTTTTTTCTGGAAGATCCGTGCCTCTTGAAGATGAAGAAGACTAACTCATTTTCTCGTGGTCGAACTCTAAGTGGGCACACTTGGTCCACTGCGAAGAAATTTTCGATTCTGGACTTGAGCTCCTTACACCCTTATGGCAAGTCGTACTTGGGTTATGCTGCTCGGCCATGGTTCATGTAGCTCGGCAACTGCTCACACCTGCTCGGCAACTGCTCGGCGACTCTTCATAGTGGTCGGACCAAGAGTCTAATTACTTGGCTTTGTTTGCACTTGCTCGGACAAGCTCAAGACGGTGTTGCACAACGGATACAAGGCGCTCGGAGACTAGCTGTGGGGGGTACGACCCCGGATACCCACGGCAGATTACATGGGCTACGCCTCTAGGGGCGGCCCAGCCCACAAGACGAAGCCTTGCGGGGCACGATTCTGCTTCGGCGCCTCCCGCAAGACACCGGGAAGATATCCTGAAGATACTATGAGATCTGTTAGGATACGTATGATCCTATGATTTCTGTAATCTGTTATTACTTTCCGGTTATCTCTCAGATCTAACCGACTTATAACCCTACCCCCGGACTATATAAGGCGGGCAGGGACCCCCTCCAAACACACGCAATATTATACGATAGCCAATACAAACCAACAGACCACAAGAGTAGGGTATTACGTCATACTGACGGCCTGAACCTGTCTAACTCGTGTGTCTCTGTTGCCTTCTTGTTCTTGATCTCACGCTACTCTGCCGATCAATCTACCTTCATGGGATATCCCTCGGAGGACTGTCGACGATATTCTGTCGACAAGTATGCTTGCTTTGGTCCTAACTCAAACTACCGAATTGCTCCAGCCTCCTTGATTGAGAATGCTCGCCTAGCATATTTCCTTGACGACGATAACATTTCCTTCCTAAGCAACATTTGTAGACGCTCTGGCCTTGGTGACGAGACATGCCTCCCCTCTTCACACCATTACATCCCTTCCATTCCTAGCTTTACCTTAGCTCGTCTGGAGGCCGAGCAGGTCATCTTCACGGTCGTCGATGACCTATTTGCCAAGGCATCAACCGAACCCAGTAAAATTGACATACTGATTGCCAATTGCAGCCTCATGACAATGATACCATCCATCACTGACAAGATCATAAACAGATACAAGCTACATAGCGATATACAGAATATGCAGCTATCTGGGATGGGGTGCAGTGCAGGACTGATCGCCGTTGGGCTCGCAAGGAACCTCCTGCGAACCATGCCCTACGGTGCACATGCGCTGGTGGTATCTACGGAGATTTTGACTTGCAACTCCTATGCAGGGAAAAAGAGATCGATGCAGCTGACCAACATGCTGTTTCGCATGGGAGGGGCCGCCGTTTTACTCTCGAATTCAAGGGCCAATGGTGCTCGGTTTCAGCTTCTGCACACTGTGCGGACATCCACTGGTGCCCAGGATAGCGCATACCGCTGCGCTTTTCAAGAAGAAGAAGACGAGGGGAACCTAGGAGTTAATTTGTCCAAGGATCTTGTGGCCATGGCTGGTGAGGCACTCAAGGCCAACATCACCACAATTGCCCCTCTTCTGCTTCCGGTCTCTGAGCAGTTATCATTTTTGCTCTCCGCCATCGCACAAAAGGTGTTATCATGAACAAAAGTCGTGCAGGGCATCAGTATGTTCCAAAAATCGCCTTGGCCGCCGAGCATTTCTGCATACATGCTTGTGGGCGAGCAGTGATCGACGCGGTGCAGCGTAGTCTGAATCTATCAGATGAGTAGGCTGAGCCATCGAGGATGACACTGCATCGATTTGGAAACACATCTAGCAGCTCCGTATGGTATGAAATGGCATATTGCGAGGCCAAGCAGTCGATGCGGAAGGGGGATCGAGTTTGGATGATTGGGTTTTGGGCTGGGTATGATTGCAACAGCACCGTGTGGAAGTGTACTCGACCAGCTCATCGTGCCGACTCGGCATGGGCAAACTGTATTCATCGTTACCCAATGGAAGTGAAGTCCCAAAACAAATCCAACCAACTGCCATGAGTAAAGAGTAGGTACCAAGATGAACTAGCAACATGTGAATACATGAAACCATGAATCCTTTTAGGCATGTTCAGTCACAAATACTAGATGATTGGAGTAGGATCCGGTCTTAGGTAGGTATGTTCATCTCCAAAGCACACTTTGGCCTCCCTCTTTACCCTTCTTGTCCTCTCCTCGATCAATTACAGCATGCATGCATGCCTCCCTCTCTCCAAGTTGTGCAAAGGAGTTAATAAGTTACTCCAAGTTTGTATTCCAAACGAAAATATTGGACCTCTTCACATTTTGATTTTTCTAAAGCGACTCGGTTATTTTCCTAATGCAAATATTGCATATATAATTTTGCTGACTATTCAAGTGACCGTGGCATCAGTACAGAGAAGTTTTTCAAAAGTGAAATTACTGAGGTCATTATATTTGTACTAAGATGACATCAAAAATTGATTAGGTTTTCTACAATAGCATTAGCTATAATATTACAAAAAATGTAGCTTATATAGATCTTACCCAAAGATTTTGGAACCAGAAGTACTAAATGGATGGCACATTTCATCTAAATATAGTAGTAGTTTAGTAATTAGGAGTTTTATGTTTTTTATGGCAAGATGTAATCAAGCCTGCTATACATAACCCTTGTTTACGTGATCGGTTACTTGGGGCTTAAGCTGAATTTGCTACTACTTTAATGTTAAAACTTGACTCACTAAAATGTTGATCACAATACACCCATGTCGAACCTTTTGAGCTTCATAACCCCATATTGTATTTGTTGAGTACGACATGCTTTATTTTTAAATCTTTGGAAAAATCCTGAATGGGTACTAGTTTCCTAAGCTTTGGAGGAGTTAGGCTTGTGATCAAACCACTTAGTTGTCCCTGTAGATTTGGAGTCTTCGCCTGAAGATCAGAGTTTCCTTTCCGCTGTTTGTGTTTAATGTTGTATTTTTTGTATTAATACGTTATGTAATAAGTATTGTCTTTTGATATTACCCATTATTTATAGTCATATGTGTGATTTGACTTTTTGGCCTCACATATGGTGTGTATCTAATTTTGCCCTTAAAACTGGGTACTACATATACTACCATCACGGATCTTAATAAATTATTTGCTATGATGCCACAGTATCGTAGCAACCCACGTTTTTCAATAACCCAAAAATTTGAACTTAAAAATTTTTCTAACAAACCCATGTATGGTGAGTGTGCATACTAGGAAACCACTGGGTAGTTGCACAAGTAGAATCCAAGTTAGTATGGTTGAGCATTGTTGCATTTTAATTCCACTTGTGAGTTACTTCTTCATGATTTTATGTGATGCAATAAAATCAATTAAACATCTCAACAATATTGTGTGAGTGTTGCCAACCTTTGGCCTGGACCCTAAAGCCCTAGATGACCTCTAGTGGGCCCCACTAGGGAGTATACATGTTGGCAACACATGTATACAAGCATAGGAGCCCTAGGTGTAGTGTGGAAATAGAAATAGGAAAGGAATTGAAAAGAGGGAGAAAAAGAAAAGGGAAAGCAGCCCGAGCAGCCCAAGCCGGCCCAGTGCCGCAGCCCTAGCGGCCTCACCCGCACGCGCGCCCACACCGCCGCCGGCCCAGCGAGACGGCCTAGCTCCGCGCTCACCCGCGCGTGCACCGGACTGCTTCGCCCGCGCTCGCGCGCCTGCGTGGCCCAGCAACGGCCTACGACCGCGCCCCGCGTCACGACACGCTGCCGCTGTCGCCTTCCCCTCCACTGACCGTCGGGCCCCGCTTGTCATCCCCTTCGCTCTCCCTCTCCTCTGCTTTTCCCATCGCCGAGCAGAGCAACTCGCTGGTGCGGGCATCCGAGGCCGAGCCCGCGCATCACAGCCACTCGCCCTTGAGCTGTTGGGCACCGACGCACGGATGGACGCCATGTCCATGATCCGCGGCGTACGCACGCTCTCCCACCGCCGTTGCGGCCCGCACCATGACGTCGCCCCGTCCACCTTTTTGAGTAGACGCCGTTCGAAATTGGGAGCACCCAACCATCCGCGATCCCACGCCGAGCAGCGAACCCTAGCCTAGAGGTCGTATCCGCCCTCCACGTACCCCGTTCCCGTCCATACGCCGTCCACCGCCGCCATGGCCGAGCTCGGGCTATAAAAGCCCCAAGCCGGTGCCCTAGCCTTCCCCTATCAACCCTGCCACCACTGGTGGCTTCACCAACTGCACGCCAAGGCCAAGAGAAGGGAAGGAGAAGGGAGGAGGAGAGGAGAAGGCGGACGACCATGCCGCTACAGCCGAGGAGCCGCCACCGGAGGAGAAGACGGCGCCCCGATCGTCTTCCTCGTTGTAGCGGTTTGGCACGACACTGCTTCACCTCGTCACGACCATAACTCGCCTTTGCACCACTAGCCTATTGCCTCAAGCCCCACGGTGAGCCCACTGGTCCCTCTACTCGCCGTCCCGCACCGTCACCATGTCCACCGCCGTGTTCTCCCCCTTGGGAGGGCCTAAGACCACCCTTTTCGCCGTTGTAGAGCACCACACGCACACGAGCCAGAGCCTGGCCTTGCTGAGCCGCTGGCGCTCGGGAACATTGATGTCCCGCACGTGCACCGAGCGTGCTCGCCATGGCCAAAGCACGGCCAAGGCGGAACCGTTCGCCGTCACCAAGCCGGTAGAGGTAGGAAGCCCACTTCGGCAAGCCTCGCCTCGTCGAGGGACATGGCTTGCACTGGATGAAGGGGGAAGTAGGACCCCAGGGGCCGCTGGTCACGTTCGCCTCACCGAAGCCGCCACGCCCCAAGCCGCCACCTTGTCGGATGCATTCCCACCGATCCTAGCCGCCTTGTGGAATGAGGGATGGCCGATGAGCTCCACCGCGTCACCGTGATCCTAGCTACCTAGCTGGATGGCCCGAAGGACATCCCTAGCCCCCATGTCACCATCGCCAGCGCCTCACTGGAGCCCCACCGTGTGCGCTACCACCGAGCGGACTCCGCCATGGAAACCAGTCACCGGCGCCACCTTCACGAGCACTCCAGTGACCCCGGTCACTCGGAAAGGACCCATCTTGAGCCCTGGGTGCTCGCGCAGCTGAACTGCCACGACATCCATGCCTGACACTGTCCCGACCGTCATTGGCAGGCCACGAAGACGCAACCCTACCCCTAGCCACCCTTGCTAGAGAGCCAAGGCCACTTAGGGAGAGCCGTGATAGTCTCACCGAGCGCGCCTTGCAAGCTCACCGCACCACCGTCGCTCCACCGAGCTTGCCTCGCCACCGAGAGCCATTGGCATCCCTTACCGACCACCAAGGAGCCACCTTTAGTACCCTACCGTACCTGCGCTAGCGCCTAGAAGCCTTAGGGAGGTCGTAGCATCACCGCTGACTAGCCGCTGACCACCTTCGGGCGACCTCATCGCCGACATACACGAGCAGAGGAGGCCGAGCACCCCGCGGTGCCTCTCCCTACACCGGGTGCACCGTGAGCCAAGAAAAGGAGAGAGGAGGTGGACGTGGTCCACCATGGACCCAGTGTGTGGTCCCTGGACCCGCACCCCCGGTGGACCACCATGAACCGCGCCCGTAGGCGCAGGCCTGATAGCAGCCTGCAATGCCATGTGGATGGCCTAGCCAAGTGACACGTGTCCGGGTCAGCCTGGCCCAGACCGGCCCAACCTGGGCCATATCCGGTCCTTGACCCGGCCCATTGGGCCTAGTCAAGGCCCAGCCAACGTTGACCGGTGACCGGTCAACGCTGCCCGTTGACCTAGCCCCACCTGTCAGTGACTAGAACCACCTCGCCCAATCAGAAGCCGCCACGTGTCAGCACCAGGATTTTCCATTTCTTTTATTTTTCAAAAAATGATTTAAACTTAGAAAATTCATAGAAAAATCATACGACCTCAGAAAAATATGAAACCAGTGCCCATCTTTTTCAAAAAATGAGCTCTACGTCATAGGCTTGTATTTGAGTGCATTTGGAACTTTTGAATTTCTGTTGCTTCTTTGTGATCATCTATAGCAGTCGCTTATCATGGCTATATGTCTCATTTGATAGAATCGGAGGAGCCACAGACTGAGGAGCATGACCCCGACTACACCGAGGAGCTTGGAGATGACCTGCCAGGTGCCACGTCCCACCTAACCTCGTAGAATCCTATTAGACATGCAATGCTAGTGCTTTACTTTTATGCAAATAATATGTGATAGGTTGTATGGTAGAATTGCTTGTGAGCCATTACCTTGTTGCAACCTATAGCCCTGCACACCCGCTGATAGGTTAGACGCTCGCTTACTTACTTGCTACTACTACTACGCATTATATCTATGATGTGATGCTTGGTGGAGGATTGTATGTGAGTGGTTAAGGCACTGGGTACTGGTAATGTGGTAACAACCGGGGAGATCTTGGCGTGCGTATTAGGTGTGTGGTGAGGGTAAAGTCGATCAAGCAGGATCTTACGATGAGTCGTTGGACGAGTCTTGCCAGGGGGGTGCGACTTGGGCATCCCCTACGAGTGGTACCTATGGTAGGTGCCTATGAGATGAGGAGATCCTAGGGTGGAGTGTCTTTGTGGGATGAAGTCCTAGGATAGAGATATCGTTGAGGCACGGGGTGTTG